AAGCACTTTGTATATCCCCTTGAAAAATAAAATAAAACTTGATTTAAAAAAAAAAAAAAATGGCTGCAGCCTGCGGGGAAGGAACATCCCCTCCCATCAGTCAATCCGTCATTATCGTGCGCTCCGGGAGCGAACAATGCTTCGGGATGCCGCCTGTACTTAAAGTTAGACATCTTAACAAGGCTATTCAAGAGCTTTCTATTATTTTGACGAACTAATCATCAACCTGCGACGTCTCTATGGGGATGCTCGGCAGACGGTTATTGAAAAGGACTAATCAAGTTTCATATTGCCTTCCCGCCCGGCCCTCCAGCAAACAAACACCCTCCAAAACCAAAGCCCTCTCTCTGCCTCACACCGTCCCTCCCTCCCTCCCTCCATCTCTGTGTATGCAGAGCGTCTCCAGGGAGTGGTAATGGATTGTGAGTAATGCTATCATCCCTTTCTCTCTTTCTACCCTCTCTGGTGTACTGGAGAGGAAAACACTCGGAGGACCCATTGTTTCTTCTTCTTCTTCTTCTTCTTCGTGCACTCGAGCCTCCGGCCTCATGTGCAGCATGACGATAACAAGAGGCTGGAAATTAGGCCTATTTTTAAAGTGCCACTCCTCTTAGAGCTCTGCAGCGGGAAACTTTACTTTTTAATCTCCCACATTGTCGTAAAATAAGAGTATTGATTCCTCGAGGTAATTATCTCTTCTGATTCTTTTTGGTCCGTCTCTTGCTAATAATACACCACTTTACTTTTCATCCTGCAAAAACACTGAAGATGACGACCGACCTCAGTGGAGTCAGACCAAAGTAAACCAGTGTAGAAAGTTTTCAGGTAATGGAAGTGAAAAGACTTTAAAAAACATCCTGAAAGAAAAAAAAAAAAGAGTCTCAGGTTCAATCTCAGGACTTTGACCCGTTTCAAAGGTTTATGAAATGAAATCCTCTCGTCTGGGAACATGTGGAACAATCAGGCTCGAAGGACAAATACTGGTCAGAATTTCTTGTTGGATTAATTATTGTAGAATGGT